GCGGCTGCGGAAGATGCGACGGATGAACGTCGGCATTTGTTGTGTCCTGTGGATGTGCGGCGGAGCCGGGTGGTGCGTCGGTGAGAGTGCGCAGGTGTTGTGACCGGACTCCTGTAACTGTGTGTGCATGGTGTGTTTGTGGAGGCGCAGCGTCACGGCGTCGACGGCGGCTGCGGCCAGGTGACTGATGGAAGTGGCCCGTGGGACGACGGGAGATTTCATCTGTGTTTGTGTGTGTGTGTGAAAGGTATGTTCGTGAAAGAGGGAGAGAATGAGAGGAGAGATGAGAGAGACAATGCTTGTGCGTGTTGACTGATTTTGTGTGTGTGTGTGTATGTCAGAGAGAGGGGTATGGTATGTGTGGATAAATGTCTAAAATACCCTTAATGAATAAATAAGTGCTGTCTTTTTTTTGCCATTGGATCATTTGATCTAATGGCTACAATGTATTCTCATTGAGTATCTTTTTCACTGGAGCGCATTCCTATATAGATATATATATAGACCGACAACAATTAACCAACATGTACTGGACCAACAAACTAAAATGCTCCCTAAACCTTGAAAGTCAACATAAAATTACATTGTACAAATTGGGAGCTAAGGAAGGCTCAAACTCAAGGAAAAAGTTAGAGAAAAAAAATAAAATATATCATTTGTTTAACACAATCATAATCTTAACACATTGAGGACAACCAAATTTCTCTAGATTCCAGGTGATAATCATCACGAACTGCAAAACTTACGTACTTTTCCTTCCCACCACATTCCAGGTCGACCCACGCGAGACCTTCTCCAGCCCAAAGTCGAGCAGTCTCCTCTCAATGCCAAAGTTGTTGGTACATGTGTGTGCTGACATTATTCCGTACCAAGTCGAGCTAGTAATACTGTCGAGGACGTGATGTTAACGACCGCGGTCTGCACCTACCCCTCTCTTCAGAACCTGGCCATGGACGCACCGGCACAAGTCCGGATAGCTCTTGACAATTTTAGGAAACGTGTACTATTAAAAATTAGACATAATGCTAATTGCCTAAAACAAATGCACAAAAAGTTTGAAAATGTCAAAAGACATATAAACAAACACAGAACATTGAAAATCAACACCCAATTACCTTATGCAAGAATATGCGGAAAGAAACCCATTTCATAATATTCTAGTTGCACTTTTTTGGGATAATTTCCCAATATAAAACTCTACTTCATTATTTGCTTTCATGATTTAGCCAACACTTGGTATAATTGAACTTGTGATTCATTAACATACCTTGGATTCTTAGGTGGAATTTCCTTCTTTTTTTTTGGTATAATAATTGGTGTGGTTCGCCGTTAGAACTGGAACAGGTTAGAGGGCTAATATAATTTGGAGGTTTAATTTTTCTTATTTTCAATCTAGATTACATTCCTAAAAGATATTGAAGAGATTATAGGAAAGTTCTATGCAAAATGGAATGTAACCAAAAATTTCTGATTGTGATCTTTCTTTACTTTAAATGTTTAATTTATAATTTTTATACAAAAATTCAAAAACACATATAGGCGGGATTTTTCAAAAAATTTCAAAAAATATTGCCAAGTTTAGTAACTTTAAAAATTTTAGGCGGGAATTTAGTTACTATTTTAGGTAAATGCCAAATCTTTTTATATATATATATAGATGGCGGGAAAAAGTTTCTAAAAGTGAATTAGTTTAATCCTTATTATATATTAATACATCATGTCTTATTTGAATGAATGTGATTCTTAAATATTTTGGTTGAACGACTTTTAATGACCTAATAGTCAATGTAAAAAAAAAAAAGAAAAAGATCAAATTGTTTGATGCTTTCACACCTTTGTTTTCATTATATCAGTCTAAGCCAGCATAACTTTCCAACAGGGCCTCCGGGTATTTATCCTTCCTAAAAGTCCCATTATTAATATTATTATAATTATTATTATTTTTTTTTGTTTAAAAAAATTGGTTCCCACATTCCAAAGAAAAAAATATTTCTTAGTTGCAAGGGTACTCTTTCTTTTTTTCGAAACGATAGAATTCATCACTAAACAACACATAATTACAACCATCCATAGTCGAAAGGGGGTAGCCTATCAAAGGTAGCCAAGATATTACAACAAAACACGACAAACACACAAAAGACTATCCAATGAAAGAATACACAACTCCCCAACAAGGAGTAGACACTCCAAAAGTGGAGAAAAAAAACACAGATGCACACGTAAAAAAAAAACATAAAACAAAACAATGACTAGATTAAAGCCCTTCCCACAACAGCTAAACCAAATCGAACCAAGACGACGCCGACACCCATGAGCAATCACCCACAAAGACAGAGACCCGATCCAAGTTGCAAAACCAGAAACTGCAGAATACTCGGCTAACTAGATTTGAGGCTCGAAAACTTTTCCCTGCCCAGGTAGACAACCCATAGCCTCGGATCCGGAGATCCACAACAAGCTCCACCACCGGGACACGAGACCCGACCCCGACTCAACTCCGCCCAAGCAGCCGCACAGCCCAGAGAAATCGGGAGAACCAAAAAGGGGGATCCGACGTCTTACCCGAGAAAAGGGCGCCGCCTAGGGCTGAGCATGGGACTCGGAGAATTTTGAACTGTTCCAAAAACCGAACCGAAATCACTCTGAACCGAAAAATAACCGTTGACCGTTTGACTTTCTTCGAACCGAACCGAAAAAATAATTGGTACGATTTTGGAGATTTCACAAATATCTGTACCGAGAACCGAACCGAACAGTCCTTGTACCGAACCGAAGAACCGAATTATAACATTAGATGTGTTATTAATATATTATATGTCAATTTTGATTCTATATAATATAGTAATAAATATTAACCTTCACTTAAATTTCATGCTTAGTAATACTTGATCTACAATTGAATTTTTTCTATTATAAAGTAATTATTTAAAATAATATGAAAGTTTCAAGAATATTTTTTTAAGAAAAAAATATTATATTTTATTTGAATTTTAAATTTTCAATATTAGTTGCACAAATTTAGTTATAACTAAAATTTGGAGTTACTTATAAAGTTGATTGCAAAATAAAATCTTTAATTGGAAAAAATACTGATGAATGTTAGTTTTATTAATGCATATAAAAATTAAATAACTAATATTTATAGTTACTTCTAGAATTGATTTCAAAATAAAATCTTCAATATGATGAATTATTGATGAATGTTGTTTTTTTAAAGCATATAAAATTTAAAATATAACTAGGTAGTCATTCAAAAATAATTGAAAAAATAAAAAAGCTCCGAAGATCCGAACCAAACCATACCGAATCGAACCGTCCCAATAGTCCCGAATAACGAACCGAACCGAACCGAAACGAAAAATAAGAATCTCCGAACCGAACCGAACTGACTTTTTGGTACGGTTCCGGAGATCGAATTTTGGGATCTCCGAAGTTTGGTACGATTCTGGAGATTTATCAATCTCCGAACCGTACCGACCCACGCTCACCCTTGCCGCCGCCATCCAACAAGCCTGCGAAGGTCGGCCACACGGCCAAGGGGATGTCCACCGTCTAGATGGCCTGGAGAAGGCGCACTGCTCGCCGGAGGGGTTTTGTGGATTTGGGGGTTTTCTTCGATGATATAGAAAAAGTGCAGAGGAAATGATTCCTTTCTTCCAAAACTCCTTCCAGTTGCAAGGGTATTACAGTCTTTCGATTAATCACTCTCCAAGTGGGCTCATTAACAGTTGGGCCATTTTCACAAGAAATCCGCGCATAATTTGGCTTAAGTATGCATAATTGCATATACACACAAAAAGTTTTAAAAATACCATATTGATGATACATTTATTTTAGGGTAAATAATTCTTTTCAACTTTTACTATATGTGCTTTTGGGATTTTCAACCTAAAATATTTTTTTTTGGTAAAATGCAACCTGAACTACATATATATAATTATTTGCACGCTCGACTATTTTTTGACCGTCCGATCAATAACAAAAAAAGACACGTGTATGGTCAAGATGTGGTTGAGCGTGCAAATAGTAATTGTATATATAGTTCAGGTTGCGTTTTACAACAAATAATACTTTAAGTTGAAAATCCCGAAAACACGTATAGTACAAGTTGGAAAATATTATTTACCCTTTATTTTATTCACATTTTAACGGTTTCCAAATACTTTTATTCCACAAACGTCATCTTCTCTCTCCAATCACTCCCACAATGGTAATTGTCAATGGAACTTCCTAATAAAACATAACCAACTTTTGAAAACGAATTGAATTCAAATACTACCATATTTTAGTGCAACTAAAAATAAACTTTCTAAAATTTTGTTTTTCAGTTCATATATTTTATTTAAGTTGTTCAAAAAATATTATGAAATGAAATATAAAAAAAAAAGTTATACTAAGTTTATTTAATGTTTATATAATACACAAATGGAAAAAAAAAATATATTAACCATTCAATTTCGTATGTATAAACTTTAAATAAACAGTATGTCATCCCATTCATGATTGATAAAAATTTTATAAATGGAATATCAATAGACCCTAACTAAACAGTAAAGAAACAAAATAATAAATAGATTTTAAACTTGTAATATACTAGTTATAAAACTTCTTAAAAAAGTTGATGATATCCAAAATTATGA